CAACCTTTTGAGGCCCTGGTTGTGCGGCAGCAGGCGGTCATTGTTCCGCCCTACGAGGCCACCTGCACCGCGCTCAGCGGCCAGGAGCCCGAGGAGTGGACGCCAGAGGTGGGCGGCGTGCGCAACCCACTGCTGCTTCCCGACATTCAAGAGTGGATGATGATACATATGCACATGCATTGCAGCTGCGTGTGAACTCCATACGCGCGTTACTTGTGCGTGTTTTTTTTGCATCCAGGTGCATGCTGATACATGTGTGTGTCAGTCGTGTATGCAGACACGTGCATGTGATGCGACGCGCGCTCGTCCCTGGGTGTGATCTCCCTCCACTCCGTCACGTGTCTCCAGCAAGCTGGGCACCCCTGGAAAGCAACGCGCCACAAGCCAGTAACACGTAGCACGCGCAGCTTGCCGACCTCAAACACCTCCCCATGCGCGCCCTCCCCCCTGCTGCCTCCCCAATGTCCGAAACCCCCGCCCGGCAGTTTGACGACCGCACCCAGGAGGAGATTCACGCCGAGCGCCTGGCGGCGTCGGGCATGACCCCCGAGCAGGCCGAGGCCCGGGAGCTGCTGCTCAGCAAGTTCTGGGATCGATCCCTGCCCGGGCCGCGGGACTTGATGGAGGCGGCGTACGGGCCGTCTGACATGCCTGGGGGGGTGATCCGGCCGTCGGAGCGGACGGAGGAGCAGCAGAGGGAGATGGGTGAGAGCACCGGGCCTGGGGCGGGGGAGGGGCAGGGGTTGCGTTTTGTTCCAAGGCTGTGGCTTGGTCTTTCTTTTGGAGGGGAGGTTCAGGGGGCACGGAGGTTGCTGCCTGTGGGGGGCGATGCGGCTGGGGTGCGTGAGCGGGGCGCGCGCCTGCGCACCGTACTCTGTTGTGGGGACGTTGCTGAACCGGGGTTGCTGGAAGGGGCAACCTGCTTTGTATACGACCTGGCGCTGTGGTCACGGCCTAGCCGTTGACCTTGCTGATGTCACCTGCTGATGTCACTTGCTGATGTTACCTGTTGACACCTGCTGACATCAATAGCTGGCATCACTGCTTCACGGCGTGCCTGACTCAACACATCCCCCCCCCCCAACGCTGAGCACCCGCCCTCTCCCCACACAAGCCGTCCATGGGCGCCGCCGCCGACCCCCTCGACCCCCCAAGCGCACATATCCCCGAGCCCCTGCCGCACCCACACGCAACGCACCACCCTCCACTTCGTCCACCCACACACCCCGCTCTCTCCGCCCGGTCACTCCCTAAACCTGACCCCTCTCCTCAAAACCCCCAGAACCCTCCCCCACACCTTGCACCCAAACCCTCTACCTCAAAACCCGAAACCCTCCCCCCAATCACCCGGAACCCTCCAACCCCAAACCAGACCGCCCCACCGGCCTGCTGGCCGAGGCGTTCGGCCTCGCGCGCCCCGACGACCCGCCAAACGACCCCTGGGCGGCCTGGGGCCCCGGCGTGCTGTGGGACGACGCCAGCGATATTGCCGCCGAGGCGGACCCCTCCTCACCCGAGTGGGCATCCGCCGCGCTCGCCGGCGGCGCGGGCGCGGCCTCGGATGCCCTATACCGCGCGGGCGGCGCGCCGGCGCTCGACGCGCGGCCGGCGGCCAGCGCGAGCGGGGGGCGGGAGGACGATGTGTCAGACACGCCCGTGCCGGAGGGCGCGACGCTCGCAGACCTGGTGACGGCGGTGCTGGACGCGCCCGCGCCCGGCAGCAGCAGCGGCGTGCCAGAGAGCTGGCTGGCCGCGCTGGAGCGGGTGCCGCCGACGGCGCTGGGGCTGGAAGGTGCGTCGGGAGGGGCCTGGGTGCACCAGGCGCGGCCGCAGCAGACGGTGCGGCCTGCAAACGGGAACGGCCCCACGGGCCTGAGTGTGCTGTGCCGCTGGGGCGGGTAGGGTCTCGCACGGCGCGTTGCGAGGCGTGCGGGTGAGTCAAGGCCGGGTGTCGGGTCCTACCGCCCCTGGTCCCCGCACCCCGAAAAAGGTCGGACCCTCAATCCCAGCCAGCCTCCATC